TTGCTATTGCTATTGCTATTACTATCACTAGAAGTCTAATACATGTACGTACTTCATTATCTGACATAGCAAGTTCTATTGCTATTGCTATTGCTATTATTATTGCTATTGCTATTGCTATTACTATCACTAGAAGTCTAATACATGTACGTACTTCATTATCTGACATAGCAAGTTCTTGTTCACTATTATTATGTGCTGTTTTTATATTTCTTTCTACGTACATCCATATAATATTGATTTATATTTATCTCTTCATTCATTACAGTACGTAATGCGTTTCTCAATAATTTTTTTTGTTGATCTGCAATTTATGATTGCTATAAATTTAAGGATACGCTTATTACTTAACAATGGATGATATCAACGAATATAACATTATTAACAGTACATATAATTTTGCTTTAGTCAATATGTTATCATAATAAAGCTACGTGACAACAATTGCTAGGATCAAGAAAGTAACAAAATTTACACTATCACGTTTGTTGCTATAAGTACTTATAAATCACATAAAAGGAGTAGGTTTAATATGAAATAATAGATAAATAAAAATATCGGTTAAAATAGCGAAACCACTTTTGGTAGTTGTGCTTTAATATCGATTCAATGATCACATGATTTCTAATTTGTTCGTATAACGATTAAATTTATTATTACATGTATTATTTTTAACAAAGCGCAGTACTTTCTTTTGATATTGCCATCATGAATGGGTTGCTTTTTGCAAGAAACTCTACATATCTTCATTCTCTTTGATTTCATGTGGCAAACTAAAACCGAAATCGCTTGGAACATACAAACAGACACTAGACATTCGATATAATTTTAATTAACGTGAAATGTCAATCTGATATTTAGAAATAAATTGCGCCGTCATCATTTGGAATTGAAATTAATTTTGCAGTAAAAATTCGACTGGTGTAAATTGTATTTAGATGGATTGTTGTTTTTTGTTTATATTTGTATGAATGCTTTTTTGCATATTCTTCTCATCCAGCTCTTCCATCTGCTTAAGACCATTCCATTTCTGCTCTTCTAGTCCATTCATTCTCTATTCTTCTAAACTAAGACACTCATGAATGTTTTAAGACATTCTAAAGAGCTGCAGTAGTAAAATACACCGTATGCAATTCGTTGTAACCTGTGTTGGTGATACGGTGGATAACGAAGCCAACATCTTCAGCAGTTGGTCTGTTTTCTGGAATAGGATCCCGATATTTTTCAATAATAATTTTGCACCATCCAGGTACATCTTAGGTCGTACTCCTTTATAGACATCGCATACAAGATCTAAATCATGACGCCGCTCACCGAATGGTCTGTTACAGTCTCATACCTAACACTAAAAATCTGTAGCTTGAGTATATGACTCTTCTTGTAAAGTACCCCGTAAATTTCTCGATTAGATTTTTCTATATCTACTTGGCCGGAAAGTCCAAAATCAGCAATTTGAGAAAGATTATAAATTGCATTCTCTGTATACGATGCATTCACTATTAATATATTCCCAGGGTGAAAATTACGATACATAAATCCATTTTGGTGATTATAGATAACTATTTTAACTTTTGTTCTCAATTCAATTCTTTAAGATACTATTCATTTGTAACAGAGTACTTAGTTATTCCAAGATAACATATTCCATAACTCCAATTGCACGTTAGAGCAGCCAGCCAGAATCTATTTTTTAAAAACTTAATTTCTTAGAAAACAAAAATGTATCATTTTTACACTAAATAAATAGTTTATTTTAGCTCTGATGCAACTTCGTATTCTTTATGTCGTTTAAATGTATTTTCTTCATGATACCATATGTCCGTAAACCAGGTTGCTTTATAAATTGTCACAAATCATCTTTCGCAAGATACATAACATTGGTGAATCTCTCAAAGGAGGGTTCATTCAAATGTGATGCATCTTAAATTTTATTACAGTTGATATTATCATTTTGGCTAGGCCCAAACAACTTTTGTGATAATCATACCATCTACAGTGCTCGTCAGAAGTAACCACCCTCATAACTTTCCGTAGATCATGTGTAATGTACCAAAATTTTCCGAGCACAAGAAAAACGCAAACAAAAAAAATATCGCTGCAAGTAGTAATGTGATTCAACTAGAAGATTGTTTTCGTCAAATTGTTTCTTTGCTTAGTACTCAGCATGGAGAAAAAGTGGGCATTGATTAGCTTAATAATATCAGTCTTTTCGCTTTGGTTTTTTATTGCAAATTTACTTTCATCCACAAGCATTATTGGGATAGAACAGGAATAAGACAGCAAGAGATAGCACTTTTTCTTAAAAAGGCTAGAACTTCGATTTCTATTTCTTGTTCTAGCCCCCAATAGCTTTCGGCTAAAATTTCTTCTATTTTTTGTCTAATTTTTCTTAATGTTAGTTGCTGAAATATCCGGAGTTTTCACGGCTTTTGTCAAAAATTTTAACAAAGCCCAACTTTAAATATGAGGAAAATGGAGTTATCAATTCAAGCGAGGAAGGAATTCAGGGAAAAGTCTCTAATAATGAGCAAGAATAAAAAAAACCTAAAAAAAATACACTGATCATTTACGCCTTCTAAATCGGACATTCTCTGTTCACAAACTTTTACACATAAATAATATCGCTCACACAAACGTTTTTTTACACACTCACTCCAAAGGTCCGAAGCTTGGACTTGAAGCTACAGCTAAATACGTTCACTGTAGTAAGCTCACAGTTGTTTATTTGGTCCAAAGATGGTAGAAACAAAGGACCTAAGTGATCAACTGGAATCCGGCAGAAATCGATCCACAACTCCGATGCAAGACGAAAAGATTATAGAGCTTGCACAGAAGCCAACTAATGCAACCGCTGCTGATATACAATAGGAAATGAAAAAACGAAACGTCAATGTTAGTTTGAAAAATATTAAACGACGTTACAAGAAGGTGAAGGCAAATACACGGAGAAACTTTCCAAACCTCTACTTACTAATGGTCATAAAGAAAAACGGTTGGAATGGGCAAAAATTTTGACTGGAGTAAGGTTATATTTTCAGACGAAAGCACATTTCGTCTAAACCAGTCGTTATTTAAGGTCTGGCAGTTTCCTGAACGAAGAAAATATTCCGATCTGTGAAGCATCTATTAAAAATCAATATGTGGGGTTGTTTTTCTGCTTCGGGCTTTGGTAGGTTAGTCTACTTCCAGCAGAATCTCAAGACCGAATTTATGGTTATGGTATATAAACGCAGTCTTATCCCATCTGTTGAGTATCTTTTTGGGGACGATTCTGAAGGGGGATGTTGCAAGAGGATAACGACCCGAAACACCGTTTGAAATTAGGAGGAAAACAACATCGAAGTTCTGGATTAAAGGTACAATTAGCAACAGAATGGAATCACTTACCTGATGATCTTGCCGCGAATCTTGTCCATAGCATAAGAAGTCGTGTTGAGGCGTTAATTGAAGCTGGTGGATTATACAATGTATTAATGCTCAGGATATATTGTTACATTCTAATAAAAAAATAGCTTTATCTTATCTTATAGCCGAGTTATGGGAGGTAGGTTAATTCTGACGAGCACTGTATGGCAGTGTTTATTTTTTGACATTCGATACATATACTACAATCATGAATATAGTGTTCTGAACATCTGAACACCTATTGCAGCTCCATTCTTCGCAATCGTCACATTCACTACAATCGTGATCTGAACACTTATTGCAGCGGTATTCATAACATTTAATAGAATCATGAGGATTCGAAATATTAGATCCCATCTTTGAGTCCATTTTACTCTTCTTTTCTATGAATGTACGCCAATTAAATTTAACGTTAATCATCGTTGTCCGAAAAGAAAAGTCATTTATTCTTTAGAACTCCCAGTGTGTGTGTTAAAAGAAGAGTCAGAACTTTCATTTGCAGATAACACATTTTATCAATATGCCTACAGGAATCCGGTACGACATCCCGAAAACCACAATCCCGACAGTTGATATACCCGACAAACGAAATCCCGAAAGTCCAATATCTCGAAATCCAACATCCCGAAAATTCACCATCCCAAAAAGCCTACATCTCGAACACTCAGCGTCCCGAATGTACAATATCCCGAACACTAGCATCTTGACACTTCACTTCAAAATCCTGGGAATTCACAATCCTCAATGGTTCAAAATCACGACATTTAAAATACATGTATATACATGTACGTGTATTGGTCACTTTGTGTTAACGTATACATATTTTATCGGTGTACATGTATATAACCTTATATGACCTCAATTTTATTATAAATTCTGTATTACTTATGACTAAAGTCACGAAAAATGGCTTATGACCATGAAATTGGCCAATACTGTATTTTATATCAATATTATCCAACTTTATTAAAATACTACATAAAAGATATATAATAATTTTTATATAACCTTAACTAATCCTAATCAAATTTAGCGTTAAAATACAATATTTCCGGATTGGAGGTAATTCAGAAGATTTTTCTTGAGATATAATATAAATAGTATATTTGCAATTTCCGGAAGTTCTCTTTTCGGGATGTTGGATGTTCGGGATGTTGGGTTTTCGGGATTTCATTTGTCAGGCATATGGGATGTCGGGATTGTGGTTATCGGGATGTTGGGCGACACCCCCATAAATAGCATTTGATGCGATAAAACTTTATAAACCATAGTGGTCGATTAGAGCTAAACTGCCAAAACTACTAATAAAAAGTTTTTTATCCATCTTACACACTTGTTAATTATTTCTACTGGGATAGTTATGTTCGGAATTCACGTCAATTCCGAATTGACGTGCGTCGTTATGGAATTTTGAAATGTTATACGTCACGTCAATTCCGGATTGATGTACGTTGTTTCAGAATTCCAAAACGACGTATGTCGTTTTGGAATTCGAAATTGACGTGCGTCATTTTAGAATTCCAAAATGACGTAGCTGTATAATTCAAATTAATTTCTTGTGACAATAATACAAAACACGTAAGAAACACGTGTTAAGTTGCAACCCTCCCCCCGGGCATTGAAATTTGACACGCGAAATACAGGAATAAAAATATCGGGAAAGTGATTTTGCATATAATCTTAGTCATAACCTACGAGATTCATACAAAGCGCGTGATTACTATGTGTTAAGGACTAGTAGGTTAGGGTCAGGGTAAGGGTTGCAAAATCAGCTTCACGACATTTTTAATTAGTGCTTCAACCTGTATATCGTTTTTTTCGCGAACCAACAGATTGACACACGTCGATTTCAAATTCCGAAACGACGTCAGTGACTCACTAAAGAAATGGAACACGGAAAAAAAATGGCCATCATTGAAAGATTATCGGAGACATAAAATCAATTATTTTTCATCTATCTTTTGAATTGAACTTATTGTAGTGTATCTAATCATGAAAATTTATGATGCCAGTTGAAAAGTTTTACATCGCTGTTGTTGTAAGGAAATGGCATTTATTCGTACTTTACTAGAAATAATTTTTGGCCATTCTATCGTGTTTTAATAACTCGAATAATGATAAAAGAACCATTTTAGAATGATAGTATTCTTTTTTTATTTCATTATAATACCTCCTTCGTTCTATAATTAAGCTTGATTATTGCAAACAAAGGATCGAAAAATAAACAATGACAATTGATAAAGAACATACAAGTCTCTCACTTATTAACCGAACCAAATACAGAATACTTAAGTTATAAATATTCTAATAACATCGATATTTCTATGAATAAGTTTGTATAGAATAACTACAGGAATTATTTATTAAATTCACCAGTTCTCTCAGTTTTGGGGATTGTTGGACAAATATTTCCCCATGATCTATGCAGTCTCTCAAACCAATGAGAAATTACGTTGAAGCTTTAAATTTGTTGCAACTTCGAAAGTTTTGTAATCAAATCTCCAAATATAAGAGATTCTACAGTCATTTGCCTTATACATGTAATAGACCTCCTCTATATGGAGTCTAATTAAAATCTCGATACAGTATAACGATAACGATAATACACCTGTTCGATATACATGTAGTAGATTTACCGTTACTAATTAATTCTTGATATCGATATAGCGATAGTGGATTTTTTACTAACACACATAGCGATAGCAATAGATTTTTTTTGATACACTACATATATATAATACATGTACATGATCAAACCTCGATACATTAGTAAAAAATCCGGTTTATCTAGTCAATCCGGTTATTGCAGCGGGTTTACCATAAACAAATACATGCATAAATTTCTGTTGAATGACAATCAAACATAACGTTAATTGTCGTTGTTCAAACGACAACGTACGTATCTAGAAATGCATTATGAAGCAGCAGTCAAATAAATTATTAAATTGCTTATTGTTATTGAAATATTCGAAATATAAAATGACTAATTTGAAAAATTTGTATTTGACGTACTCTGTTAGAAATTGCAAACATTTTGCTGTTTTGAATTGCAAGAACATTTACTTTGTAATAAAAAAATGATATTTCTCTCTAAATGCTTAAAGCTACAATCCTAACAGTTTGTGAATTATATATAAGTTGAACTAGCTGCCACCAGCAACCAATCTGCAATTGCAACTTTATCGATTAAAGCTTTTATTTTTTGCAGTTAATGATAAATCCACATTATTGTCCGTGGCTCTGGTTAACTGAGCTTTGTATCGAGTTATCATTCATTACTTTAGAGTGGTATATTAAAAAGCAAACTTAAAATGCAACTCATCCAAATCCCGTCTCGGGTTTCATTCTAGAATATAGTAATAGATCAATCCAATCTTGTCTGCAAAAGTCACGTAAAGGTCACTTTTTACGTGTTTTACACATATCAATATAAAAGTCTGTCTTACTTACTCAATATCGATATGTTGTAAAACACACGCAAACAATGACATATCAGACTTTTTCGTATATTTCCGTTGTGAGACATTTTTATTGGTACCAGAAATAGCAATCTGGATGCTATATAAACGCCACACGCACGTAGCGTAACTTTAACGTTAATTATAAAAACGCTATTAAATCAGCACATTACGAGCTTGTACTAATTATCATCAAAGAATTCCAGGTAAGATTGGCTATGTACATGTATAAAGTATTCTTCAAAAAAAGACATGTATTCACTATTATCGTTATTTTTTCCAAATTAGGAAATGGACATTAATTCGATATTTCAATTATTACCGACGGAAATTCGTCAAGAAATTTTCAAAAAACTAGACCGAGGATCTTTATTCAATTGTCTGATGGTCAATCGACAATCTTGCCAAGAAATTGTGCCGATTCTTTGGGAAGCTCCTCTTCTTTCTGCAAAGCGCACATATAAGCAGTATCAAAACATTGCAGAAGTTTATGTTGGAAGTTTCTCGAACAAAACGTGGGAGTATTTACGTTCTCACAAAATTAGTCAACCACAGACCGTACGACAACCAACGTTCAATTACGCTTCATTTTTACGCTATTGTGATCCAGGCTATGTAAACTATATAGCAGGTGCATGGCTAAATCAAAAATTGTATCTTCAGACTCAAGAACA